AAGCAGAAGACACTCACAGCCTCCCGCAAACAGATCTTTTTCAACTCTTCAACTTTTTTCAGGAGTTTTTCTTGTAACAGCTTCTCCTTCTTCTTGAGTTCGAGGATTTTCTCCCGTTTTTGCTCCTCGCTGACTTCAGAGTCTTGAGAACCTGGGGGGATCGGGAGGGAGGGCAGGGAAGGTTTATACAAGGCATGTTTCCTTCCTTTTCAGAGGACAAAGGATTTTTAAGCCAAACCTGCTATTTAATAATAGTTCATTGCTTTTTCTCCTTGTTTCTGAACATAATAAAAGGAAACTAGAGAACATTTTCTCATGTTTCTGGGCATCAAACAGAGCCTGGTAATAATATATGCCTTTTGCATTTTGGCTCAGTCATTTTAGAAGCAGTGACAAAATGCTTAATGTTTCAGACACACCCAAGGGAAAAGAAATCTTTTTTCTGAGCAGGAGAGAAGGTAAGATATTCTTTGAGATAGTTGTTTAGAATGTTCTTTAAGAAAGCAAGCAAGCAAGCAAGGCGAAGGAATGTTCTGGGCTTCAGATTCACAAGTTGACAATAGCATTTAGGTCAGAAATTATTTTTAGTGAAGTTACATACGCTCAGTGATAAGAGATTGCAGAATTTCTACAGAGGAAGGACTGAGGGGCAATAATCACCTTGGGGGTGAAGTGGAGTCTGAAGGTTGTAGTCATGGTTGAATTTATATTAAATGGAGAATCAGACAACCGTCTGTATCAAAAATTACATTTTGGGGAAAGAAGCTTACGGAACTCATGGGGAGAAAATATACTTTCAAGCTACCCTGAGGCACTCACTTTCTTAGCATCTAGTGTCACCTATATAACCTGAGTTTCTTTTTTTTAATTTTCAAATGGATTTTTTCCTTTTTTTTGGTTTGAAGTATAGTTTCTGTACAATATTACATATATTACATGTGTACAATAGAATGATTCATAATCTTTAAGGGTTATACTCCATTTTTAGTTGTTATTATGACATGTTGGCTATATTCCCCATGTTGTACAATATATCCCTGTAGCTTATTTTATATCTAATACTTTGTACCCCTTAGTCCTCTACCCCTGTATTACCCCTCCTCTATACAACCTGGTTTTATAATTTAACTTTCTTCATATTCTTTTAAAACTTAGTTTCAAAATTTTATTCAAAACTGCTACATATTGTAGGTTTTTCGTCTGCTTATTTATTCCCAAAATGATGGGTTTTGAGAAGTGGTTGACAACCAAAAAAAAAAAAAAAAATTTGTGAAATAAGATAAAGATCTCTGGCACATTCTCTAATCCAAAAATATTACCTGAAGAGATTAAGCTGCCATTGCTTGCCATGATGAACTGATTTTTTGCCTCGAGTGTCACCATTTTGGAGACCCTTGGTGTTCCAGTCTCCGTCAAATCCAAAGCAATATCGTCTAAACTCCTGGCTGAGGGAATTTTTGCCTAAGGGGTATAAAACATTGAAATGGATTTCACTCAAGCCTATTTCAAATTAATAAAAAGATTCCATTATTATAGAATAAAAATATGAAGACAGAGGACAATTTAGAATTTTTATATACTGAAATGATATCCTTCAGGAAAAAAAAAGACTTCAGCTTTGCAGCTAAAAGGTTTTAATAACTATGCATGATCCTCTCTCAGGGTAGAGTTCCATCACAAACTTTAAAATGTCACTGGTGTTCACTCACATGCTTGCCAAAAAGCTGGCGAATCTTACAACTTTTAAATCAGCTTATATGTTGCCCATCTTTGAAAAGTAAGAAAAATTAAGAATTGGTAGTAAAGTTTAAGAAAACAAAACTCAAAGAACAAAAAACCCATGTGCTTGGATCTTTTCTGGGAAAGCTTATCCTCTGCACAGAAAGCAAACAAGGGACAGGACTTTGTCCCCATAGAAACGCTTCTAGTCACTTACTTTGCTTTGCTTCCGGTCCAAGTAAAACTGATGCTGACTAATTGCCATTACCCAGATGGACTTGATGAGAGAAGAGTTCGCATACCACGTCTGCACAAAGAGGCCACTTTGCCCAAAAGTTCTTCTTGATACTGAAATCCTGAAAGATTAAGGAAAACCCTCAAATTATCTGTCTCCAGCCCAGTGCAACATAAAATGTATCTACTGGGTAACACTGTAACAAAGCATCTTCTTAATGGCTTTTCCTCTGCCATGCTCTTTTGCTGTCAGGGGCCAAGCTCCTGACTTTCTCCTTTTATGAGAAAACCTATCACCTGGGTAATCTCTTTCTGTAAAAGTATCGTATTAAAAAAACCCCACATATACAAACACTCAAAAGCAGGTAAGAATTAGCCAAATTAGAAACATTTGATTAAAAACCACAGGATGTGTGACCACCTCTAGAGGTCAGGAATAAATGTGGTAATATTTTATTTAGTTATTTTTTTTGAGGGGGCAGGTAATTAGGTTTATTTATTCTTAGAGGAGGTCCTGGGGATTGAACCTGGGACCTCATGCATGCTAGGCATGCACTCTACCACTTGAGCTATACCCTTCCCCTGTGGCATGTTAAAGACAAAACAACCAGGACCTGTAGGATCAGCACCTCCCTCGGCTAAAAGAGCATCTCAGGTCTAGGCAGAGTTGTGCAGCTCTGGCATTGTCAGAGGATGAACATAAGAATATTGTCTAAAAATATGCAAGTCCAAAACTGATCCAGAGCACTGCTTATGTACCAGAGGAAAAGGAGAGAGGGTCAGGGGAGGAGACAGCAAAGGAGAGAAAGATGGGGAGAAGGCAGAGACTCGGTCAGGGCAGGGTTGGGGATGGAGGGCTTGGGGGAGAAGGGCACCAGTGCTCTTTGTAGGAATGCGCCTTATCTCTTCGGGTCATCTTTTTGTCACAGCTGTTTCCTCCAGCCCCCTGACCTCCAAATATCCATAAACTTAATCTGAGAAGCCACCACTGAGGGCTGATAAGGAATTCCTCTGAGGAACTTGGAGAGCCCGCCATCCTGACTTCAACTCATGTTGGTAATTTAGCAACTATTTTTTTTTAAATGGCCCAAAATACCAAACTTAAAAATGAGCAAAGGATCTGAATAGACATTTCTCTAAAGAAGACATCCAAGCGGCTAATGAGTTCATGAAGATGCTTGTATGCAAATCCAAACCAGAATGAGCTATCACTGCACACCACTAGGATAGATATTCACACACACACACACACACACACACACACACACACACACACACACACACACCAACCCT